AAAAACCTTTTCATTTACAGCCCGGCATTTAATTCATTTTGTTCAGGGGACAGTGTGCCGTCCCCAGCACTGGGCAGAATTCCAATGGCAACTAGTGCCTGACCCTGAGCAGCTGCAGTCAGGCCCGCCTCACCCAGCAGCCTGCAGAGGGAGACGAAGGAGATCTGGTAGACTGGAGAATGCCAGGAGCACCAAGGCTGCAGCCCGAGCGTCCGCCACCCTACGCTGGGGAGCCATGCCCTCTCCTTCCTCTCCTCCTTTACTGTGAAAATAATAATAATAATTTGAATAATAATTTCCACCAAAGCTGGGAGTGATTTGCATTTGTATAGTGCTCTGCAATTTACAAAGTGCTTTCATGTGCATTATCTCATTTGATCCTTCCAATAATCCTGAGAGGTCTGTAGAGCAGGTATTTTTGTTATTCAAACGTTTATTCATTCATTTGACTAACATTTATTGAGTTTCTACTTTATACCAGACCCTGGGGATAGGAAGACCAGAAGAAGAAGAAAAAAAGAAAAATCCAGGAGCCTCTTACCTCAAAGGTACCCAGTCTGTCGGGACAACCCACTAAGTGTACAGAATATTAAAAGGCCTAGGAACAAAGTGTTCCCCTTCGAAGCAGGGAGGCTGAGAACTAAGTGAGCCAGGATAGACCACTTCCGCTGCTTTGAGCTTTGTGGTCCTCTCCCAAGTTATTACATGGTCATCACTAGCCTCATTTCATCTGCTTGTTTAAAGGGGGGGGGGGGCTGGAAACCCAGCCCATCGGTAAAGTGCCTGATGTGCCAGCATGAAGACCTGAGTTTGGATACCCATCCCCTACATTAAAAAGGTGGAGTGCCATGGAGGAGGACACCTGATGCTGACTTGTGCCCCACCTCACGCGCGCACACACACACACACACATGCACACACAAGTGCAAGCACACCAGCATCTGTCCATACAACATACAGTAGCTATATGAATTCATAGCCATCCTTGGGTCCCCTGAAATAAATACACTGGCAAACAATGAAGGTCAGGAGAAAAAAAAACAACTTGGGGAGCTGCTGACACCTGCAAATCCCTTAAGACCAAGCATATCACACCATATCAAAAAGAAAAAAAAAAAGACAAGGGCTGAGGCTGACAGCCAGACGTCTCATCTCCCAGGCATTCAGTATCTTGGAGTGCCTTCTGAGAGGCCTTTGCTGGGAGGCCTCTGGTCAAGTTTTTGTAGTTGATTGGTTGGTTGTTGTGGTGGGGAGTTTTGTTTGTCTGTTTATTTGTTTTGTTTTGTTAAGACTATGCCTTTTCTCTTACAGGAGCTAAAGGTGGATTTGCCTTGAACCATCCATGACCCTATTGAATTGCCCGTCCCATCCAAGCTTCATTCAAAAATAAGAGCCAGCTCTCACGGTCTCCCTCTTGTCTACAGCGGGCTTCTCACTCTCTGCAATCTCTACCAATAGGACCAGATGCAGGTGGAATTAGGCTTGACCAGGTCACTTAGTTCGGGTTCACTCCAGAGGCCAGGTCCCAGAAGTCCCTAAGCAGATGACCACGGTCTTGGTGGCACTGGAACTTTGCCTCTTCCCACAGAGTTAAATGTGCCCGTGCAGCGGTCCTTCAGGGACCCCTGTCTGGGTCAGAACCCAACACTTTGCCTGGCCAGGGCCAGGACAACTCTATCCTGTCACCAGCTGGCTTCCCTGGCTCTAGGCCACTGGCCTCTAGCCATGGGCCAGGCACCCAGCCATGCTGTGGAGCCAAGCAGCCCTGGCATGGAGCGGTCCTGTAAAAGCTCTCATTGGTCTTGGAAGGTTGAGGTGCAACCTGGACACTGTAGAAATGACGACTCTATCCTTAGGTGGGGAAGACATCCCAGTCTTTCTCCAGCCCTGGTGTCTTCCTTCAAAGTCACATCCCACAGCTGCTCCATCACTGCCTTGTGTTCCAAGGACAGAACAAGTGAAGAAGCCACATTGGCCTGAAGGTCCCGAGGTTTCAATCCTGGTTCTGTTGTGGCACGGGTTGCCCTACCCAGTCCACAGCTTTAATCCTGAAGGAGTACAACACTTAATGGGGCCATTGGTTCTGTGGCATAAACTTCCCACTGATCCTTTAACCTTCCAGAAATGACAGTATCATTTTGCAGGTGAGAGAGAGACAGAGACAGAGACAGACAGAGAGGAGAGACAGAGGGGGGGAGAGACAGACAGAGAGGAGAGAGAGAAGGGAGAGAGGTAAAGAGAGAGAGGAGAGAGAGAGAAGGGAGAGAAAGAGAAGGGAGAGAGAGACAGAGACAGAGAAGAGAGAGAAAGCAATTTTGCTGCGCTCTTCCAGCTGGTGTCCAGCTTTCAAATGGAGCCTCCTCCGGCTCAAAGCCTAGCCCCTTGCAGGCCTTTGGTAACTATGTTCCTCCCTCTCTTTCTCTCTCCTTCCCTCCCTCTTCCCCCCTTCCTATTCTCTCTCTTTCTTTCATGTAGTCCACCCTGACCTGGCCTCAAACTCTAAGTAGCCAGGGCTGACTTTAAGCTTCTGATCCTCTTGTGTGGTCCGTCGTCCCCCCCCCTGCCCCCCGCCCCACTCCAGACGTATCAGCACTCTGAATGTCTACAGTGCGAGGGATGGAACCCTGTGCGCTGCCAGGTAAGTACCCTGTGGACTGAGCTACATCCCTAGCACCCAGCATCACTTTCTGGCTACTTTGAGGCAGCCAGGTGTTAGGTGCTCCATTGATGCTCACCGGGTTGTTCTCTCACCGTCAGGGAAAGAGGGAGTTGTGAGGCTAAGTGCCCTGTCCTGGGACAGAAGCAGAGCACGAAGATGCTGTTGCTGCTTGTGACCCTCCTCTCAAGCCCGGTCTCGCTGGGATGAATAAAAGGAGGGTGTTTCTTAACAGCCATGCCTCCAAGTTTGGGATAAAGGGTAAAAAAATCTTGCTGGAGAAGAAAGCAGGAGAGGAGGAAGCGGAGGAAGAGAGTCAGGGAGAAACATGAAGGTCAGGTGGTCTTAATCTCTATCAGCCTCAGCCTCTCCTAGAAGACATCTGCAGACCTATTAGGCCCACACCTTGCCCCTCTCACTCAGAAGAAACAATGGCCACCCTTCTCTCCAGAACCTCTCTTCCCCCGACCCCCCCAGGGCCAAACAGCAATTCATAATAATATTTGCTTCTAGCTGGGCTAATAAAACGGCCTCACTGCAGTCCCTGTCACACGGCCAATAAACGGTATGGATGTCTCTGGCCACAGGAAGACGTAACCTGGGCCCTGTTCTCCCAGCCCAGCAACAGGATAATGTCCTGAGGTCCCCCTTCTGGAGTGCAGGGTGGTAGCAGGTGCTGAGCAAGGGCAGGGTAGCCACCTAAGGGCGCTACCGACCTCCTGTCTCGTGTGCAGCCAGCTTCAGAGGTGACAGACGAGCTCCCAACCCAACCCCCTTCTTCCCCAGGCCCCCTCCTTCCCACCTATCTTTCTGGCCCAGACCCCCGTATCTTCCTCGGAGCTTCAAATAGCTGTGTCTCCGAAATGTGAAGTGCCGCTTCCTCCTAATTACAAAACTAACCACTGACAACACGTGCCCGCCGCCGCCGCCGCCGTCGTTCCTCCGAGCTAACAGCCCCATTAGGACAGATCTGTTAGCGCCCTTGCCCCCTCCGTATATTTTATGAAGCCGCCTCAAAAGTACTCAGTGCCTGGTCCTCCCCTCCTCCTTCCCCTTCTCTTTTAAGGCGATGGCTTTGTGAAAGCAGAAGGGGGGAAAATAAAGCTTTTTACTAAAATGTCACTCTGGAAAGGGGGTGGGGGTGGGGGGGCTTCCTAATAGGCCATCAGAGGCTTGCTTTTTTTTTTTTTTTTTTAAGTGTGATAAATTTGACCCGTCTTAAAAAGACAGCCAGTGTTGCTTATCAGCCATGATTTGACCAGATAGCCGTTTCAAAAAAACAGACACTGGTCTTTTTATAATAAATGAAAGCAATAAAATCAAGAGCTGGGCCAGAACTATAATTAAGAATCAAGCCCAGAGAATGGGGGTGTGTGTGTCAGAGGAAAGCAGGGAAGTGTTTGGGCAGGCTGCCATGGGCACCATTGTTGGGGGTCACCACAAGGAGGCACTGGGGGGCCCACGCCGTGGGAAGGGAAGGGTGACTCTTCTACCCCTTCTCTCTCCTAATGGTCTTGAGAGAGCCCCATTTCTGGACAGATGGACCCAGGGGTTGCAAGGAGGGACTCAATGCCTGCCCCAAAGCCCAAATCCAGTGTCGATTTGAAATTCAGCCGGGAGACCTCTTCCTTACCCTGCCTGCACACAATAAACACCCCCGTCTCGCTACCCCTGAAGAGTGCCTGTGTAACACAGTCTCCAGCTCAAGTCGCTGCTTTGCATTTCCTTTTGGCTTTATTAAAACTGATTTTCTATTTGCACTATAAAAACTGATCTGATTAAATTTCCATTTTTCCCCAAAGAAAAGACTCCCTCTCCCGCCTCCCCCGTCTCTCCATGCCCTCCTCTTGGTCCTCTATCCCATTAGCCCTCTCCACCTTTTTTTTTTTTTAACCCCAAACAAATAATTCTTGATTATCCTCCCTCCTCATCCTTCTCATCCCCCACTGGGTCCCCAGCAGTTTCCATGGGGATGGCACTCCCAGGGAAGGGGGAAAGCGGAGCTCACCCAGTGAAGCCGAAAAGAGGAGCCGCTCATTGGGGGGATGCACAGTGAAAGGGGTGTTTCTTGGGGCCTCTCATACTCCATGTGGCTGTGAGACTGCATGACACATCCAGTGTGGCCCTGAGTCTGACTTGTCCCTCTGACAAAGCCAAGGCTGTGGGTTCAGTACTCTGGAGGGCCACTGAGCTGACTCCTTGTGTTCAGGACCCCTCACTCACCACCATTCAGGGCAGGGAATGGGCCAAGAATACAATTAAGATCACAGATCCCCTACTCAACCCGTGAGTTAAAGACCTTAGCCTTCAAGTTCCTGTTTCTTCCCTGTGACAATGACTCATTGATGTCGGGGGAGTCAGTGCAGAACACACACAAAGTCCCTGTGCTGTGTGCCCCCACCCACCGCCAAAGGAGGCTCCATCTCAGGGAGGACAAGTCATTGGCTCACTGAAAGAGGCCCTTGCTGGGTGAGTGTAGGATCCTGCTTGCTAACTACTGCACCACACAGCCTCTAGACAAGAACAGGCTGTGAGGAATCAAGCATCCACCCAGAGGCCCACCACAGAAGAGCCGGGGAAGCAGAGGATTGGCTGAGAGGGCCAGCTGCAGAAGCAGCCCCCATCCGTCCTTCTAAGGGCCGCCACCCTTCAGAGCTCCTCGACCCAACCCGTGTATTCCCCTGCCTCAGCCCTGCTGGTCCCCTTGGCGCTCCTGCCCTTAAAGCTGCATCCCCACCCCTCCCCTCCATGCAGCTGAGGTGGGTTGGCATTTTAACAAGACTTTTCTAAATATTCAGGGAAAACAAAAAGTAAATAATGACAGGAAATATAAATGGCAGGCACAAACTTATTTCCCACTGCACCAGAGCATCTTAGCACTATCAGTAATTAATTGTGAGGGATGAGTGAGTGAGTGACGACTGACTGACTGACTGACTGACTGACTGACTGACTGACTGACTGACAGACTCACTCACTCACTCACTCACTCACTCACTCACTCACTCACTCACTCCTCACTCTCTGACCAACTGACAACCTGACTCACTCACTGACAGACTCAATCTCTTCTTCACCATCTGAACGACTGAGTGACTCCCTCACTGAATAGTTTGCCCGTTAACCAAAACCAAAATAGGCACTGCCTCAGTTGCCTACCTAGCTGGGGCCAGTCACTCGGCACTGAACTCCGGTGTGAGAGTCCACCTGGCCCGCTCATACAGGTAGGATGGCAAGTGTGACTCATGGTGGAAGTCCCCAGACGCCCCGTGTCCACACCCTCAGGGGAGGCTGGCCTTCTCACAGATGCCCGAACACCATTCCTACACAGCAGTCGTGCTGTGCATGCAAGGATTCCCACCAATTCCTAACTCCCCATCCACGGTTACCATTGCCTCTCGGTTTGAGCCAAGGTCTCTGGGGTCAATAGAAAGGAACATGAAGGTGGTCAGACCAGGCGCCAGAGCACCGGAGGCCAGGACGTCCACAGGCCCTGTGCAGTTGCATGCCAC